CCAGCATGAATGCCAACACAATGAGTGCGTGTGTGCGTGTGCAAATGCAGATTGATGCGTCCTCCATCACCCTACCACGTGAATGGACCACCACCGGCTGTCAGTTAGCATGGTACCACCCCATGCTGACTGATTCATCAGTTGATGGACAGATACGCCGGACTCGCGCCAGTCCTGATGTTAATAACAAGTCGACAGATTGTGGACACAAGACGCTCGAGTATCAATTTGCCTTACTTCAAACCAACCGCGAACCGCTAGTAGGTTTACAAAAAACGATGTTTTCGTACACAACCACATAAGTGCCAACTCTTAAATAAATACCATGTTTGCTTCCCCATATTAATGCCAAAATATGGTTGATTAATGGGTATCCACATTTGCACGGATGACTGCGGCCTGGCAACGTGGGCTAGCATGTGACGTCACCTACGGGCTGAAATCAGCCAATGAGATTTCTTTGTCCGTTTTCATATTTTTACAGACGGTGAGCTTAATTATATGCATGTGCGCATGCGTCATTTATTGCTTGCTAGGTTGAGGGAATAGCGTGGGCTAGGATGCTGTCATCGATGGTATTAAACATGAAATGAAAAAAATAATTTTCTTGGCATGAATTTAACACGATCGCATTAATCAACAAGATGTCCACAGGAACCCGGAATCGGTCTTCCCCAATGTGAAAAATTTAGTCTTTCAAATTATGCATTTCATCACTTGTGGGTTCAACTTCAGGCACAAAAATGTCCAACTTAAACCTCAACATCACCCCATCATCTTGATTGGTAAGTTGAAAAATGGCGCGAAACACACTTCGTGCAGCCAGAATAAGCATGTTTGTGCGACGCGTTTGGAAAAAATCAATGAAAAATCGATTTACCTACCTCAGCCTTGCAGCGTTGCCTTGTGCGATGATTTAGAATTAAGAATACCAGAAAAAAGAAACTATTCAAGCTTTGTTGTTTGTTTTAATAATCAGTGACGTGAACCTTCTGCCTTCGGGGCAAAGCGGTCGAAATTGCCACTGTTTGAACCCTGCGGCATAATCGCCACATGCGAGAAAAAGGCTTTCTTTTGTGTTTCCTTGACACACCAAATTAAAGGGCAACGCAAATTATAGAGTTGTGCATCTGGTGGAAGCATGAGTTTTTGGCATGGCTACAGACATTCATTGTTTAGTCAGTTAGGTTAGGTCTTCGGCCAACTTATAAATTAAAACAAACCGAATCGACCAATGAGAGACATATTGTTTGGGGTTTTTATTGCACATCTCCGATTTTGAGGCGAGGCAGATCAATGCAACGATTGTCATGTTGCAATGCCCTACAACCCAGCAAGGCTTTTCTGAAGGTCTCACGTTTTTAATGACTAAAAATGTCGCACGTTTGCCATGTTGTACACTTCAAAAACTGCCTTCTGCAGGAAAATTTGAGGATCCTTTTTCCTCGTAGGCTTTGCAGTTGAAGACACGGATCTTTCATGTCGGACCGTGTGCAAACAATAGCTCTTCACCGAAAGAATCTTTGATTTACCCGTCAAACGAATGACAGACCTAGCGAAAATTTGTGGCTTCTAAAATCGCGCGACTTCGGCAAGAGTAGATAACCGCTGATTTTACCCGTTCTCAACAATTCAATGCAGATTTTGCACTATATGCTATCTGAGAATAAGGCCACATTCTGGGGATGTTATCCACGTGATTTAAGAAGAATAAATGAAACTAAAGCTTGACTTGCATTTGTCGACACAAGTTCCAACTCCTCATCGTGTTTTAGGGAAAACCTAGTTTGAATAAGTCACTTGCTTTAATGATATGATCGTGTCGACCACTTGCACAGCACTTTCCAAGTTCTTCTCACCGTAGTGGTGGAGCATTTATTGCCACAAAGTTATTGAGGGTTAGATGTTCCAAAAGAACAAAAGACCTGACATTTAATATGCGTGGTAGGTAGCCAGGGAAGCGGCTTTACACTAAGAGCCAGAAAACAGTAGATCATAGACAACGCAATCAGGCAACTGTTGCTGCAGTAATGCCGCCAGTATTTATGGCTTCGGAGCCGAGGCAGTAGGCAAAAGCATCTGTTCGTACTAAAAGTACTTTTGTGAACGCCAAAAACCCAGATCGACTGAACATCCTCCTTTTCTTTCTTTCACTTAACTGGACGCTTATCGACGGTACTAAGGTAGCGGTTCTTCTTAAAAAAAGAGAGATAGATCTCGTTTGGGATTGGCTAAAAGAAGTCTAAAATTGTAGCGGAACTCTTGTCTCCTCCGTCGGCTTCTTGCGTTTTAGAGCCGCATGTACTTCACTCCATCGCAAGAAATGCCCATCGTTAAATGCTCTTTACTTAATTCTCATTGGTTGGATTTCGCTAATTAAATGGTCCGGAGTTAAAAGTCAATTTCTCATTTGTTAAAAACAAGCCAATCAAGAAGTCGACAAGTCTGAGCGTAAAGCACTATACGGCTTCAGCAATTGGTCATTTGACATCCCATTTGTCCCGGGAAATTGACAGGTGATGAATGATGATAAGGTCCGCTGCTGAATTAGTTACCGCGCCTTGTACGGCCTCCCACCCACTCTGTTGGCACAGATTTGTGCGCGAAGATAACGTGCGCATGTGCGTGTAACGGTAAGGTTATACAGGCAAAACATTTGTGTGCAATTTTTGGTGCAGTGTCGAAATGGGCCCAGCGGCGGTAGGATGCAGTGGAGATGGCTGGGGCGGTAGCCCAGTTACCATTGCTATGACAGGTAGACCAGGGGTAAATGCACGCTTCCCATGACCTAAACCAATTCAAATTTAATATGAGGGTTCCTTGTAACCACATGACCAGTGTGATGACCAGTGGCGTAACCAAATCCCTCTGACGTCCAAAAATCGGCTCTCAGCCTTCGAAGACGAAAGCATTCGATGTTTAACGTTTGATTCATTTACTAATTTTGGACGATTCAGAGCTATTTCCTTACTATTTCGAGCCCAAATTTGCGCAAATAAATTAATTTTATAAGTGAATCGAATAGTATAGACTGTTTTCGGAAGTTCTTGGCTAGAATTTCCACTTTTAAACACCCATTTAAAATGTGGATCCTGTTAGACCTATTTTTAATAAGTTCATTGATGTGGATCTCTGGAACCACAATTTAACTGGTTTAGCCTGCACTCATAAAACGAATTTGTTTCATTTGTGGCTTACAGAAGCACCAATCAGCACGCACGAACAATTTTTAGTTCCTTTCGGTGCACTTACAATTGGCCAGCCAGAACATTTCGGTCCTCCCTAAAGCCAATGTTTGCTGCAATGGTTACATCAGATTTGTATACACATTTACAGCGATCGATACTTATTCTGTCCACGAATACTTCTTGAATTTGTCTGTGCAGAAGCTAATTCCAGCATCGTCAGTTGCAACTTTGAAAAAAATACTGAGAACTAACTTTGGTTGGCAGTTTAACAACGAAGTAGTCGACTCGATTTTCTTACAACTGAAGTAAATTAAAAATATTCGCCTGTTTCAAAAGTGAGGCTCCTGTTAAGCACGTCTCTATTCATTTTCATGCATCCGATTTGAGGATTTGAGTTGGCAATCGTTGTACTCAAGAACCCGTATACATTGCACACTGGTGATACGTGATCTGCTTTTAATTTGGATTGGTTAATCCCATCCCAAAGTCATGCACATTGATTTGTGCTTATTGGCTTGTGTACCTATCTTCGATTGGCTGATTCCAACCTGACGTCACATGAAGGAACTCTGATTGGCACAAAATCGTGAATTCTAAACAATTTAAATAGCAATTAAGTGTTAATCAAGACGCATGGCTTAACAAGTTCTTGAACTTTGTAAAACACTTCGAAGAAAAATAACGATTAACGAACACATGGAATGATTGCTCGCGAATTTTACTGCCAACATCAGCGGCAAAAAATGCACAATCTAATGGTCCCACCACGAAAATGAAGGAACTGTCAAAAATAAGAGCCGTAAATTTCATGTTGGCATTTCAAGTCTATTAATGACAGTTTAATACTTAGTCCCACATCGTGGTAATCCATCGATCAAGTCACAAGGTAATATTTTCTACACCCTACCCGTCTAGCTTGTTCAGATGAGTCGCTGTGGTCAAGAGATGAAATTTACCAAGTGTTCCTAGACATCGTGGATATCTGAAGTGCATGTTCTCTGAGTGGAGTGTGGTCCCTGAATCTGCAGTAGCTGGCAAGCCTGTCAGACAGCTGATAATATTGATGTGACGATTCCGAGCTCAGAAATTGTCCGGTTGCATAAAAGTAGATCTTGGTGAATTTCGAAGGAAGGATTGCCACCAATAAGGTGGATCTCTGTGCGCCTTTGGCGCAACGCCATCCCCAATCTAACTTCGTTATTGCATGATGTAATTTGGTGGAGTAATTAAATCACACCGATGAGACCAATTTGTCGGTCACCTGAGTGTCTTGGTAAACGCGCATCTTAAGAGGTTGTGGTGAATCTAAGTGGCGCTTACCATTCCCAATTTAAACAATCAACATACAAGCCGCAGTATTTTACCCTCAAGATAATTTCGCACATTTTATTTACACTCATTGCGTACCAGAAAGTGATACATCCAAAATACAAACATATCTACAGATTCAATTGGATAGATAAATGCATTATCATCAGCAGCAGCAGCATTATTAATAGTATCACCGTCGCTTGAGATCCAGTCGTAAGATTCGAAGGAAAGCCTGCTTGAACTGAGCATTTGCGAGGGCATAGCAGAAGGGATTGATGGGAGAGTTCATGTAGCACATCCAGTAGGTGACGCTGTAGAGGTGGTGGTTGACGCAGGTGTAGTCCCTTCCAGGGTCGTCACAGAAGCCCTTAATCAATATGACAATGTGGTAGGGTATCCAGCAGATCACAAAAGCCCCCAGAATGAAGCTGATCGTCTTGAGGGCCTTGCGCGCCCGATTCGCTGTTCGACCGCGCTCCATCGGCACCTGACGCTTAACGCCGACATTCGTGGATCGCGACTTGTGGAAGTAGCTGGCGAAGTAGAAGGCTCTCTTTCGGGCACGGGGCAGTGTGTTTGATGTGATTGCAGCGCGACCGTCGTTAGTGGAGTCGCGGCTGTCAGTCGAGGTGGTTCGTAGATGATTACCAGTTGACTGATTGTGATATTCTTGCAGCTTTTGGTCCTGCTGCTGCTGCTGCTTCTGCTTCGAAAGCCTATCCTGCCAGATTTGAGCTACCTTTGCCGCAGTGGTCTTGGATATTCGACGACTTTCCACATTTGATGGTGGAGGATCTGTATCAAGAAACGGACACACCTGGAGCGTATTATCTTCGCTACTATGCCTATTTCCAACAAAATTCTGCCCCAACGTTGGTCTATTATTGTCATTTCGGCAAGAATAGCTCTGTTCTGGATACGTAGAACCTTCAAACTCTGCCGCTAAACTACTGTTGTCGGAATGATGAGCCAGGTCTTGGGAATAAGCTAAGCTCAACTTCAGGCTACTCCCGCTGTTGTTTGTGCCGCAAGACGACTCGGGATCTGAGAACGCGTGGACAGCAGGGGACGAGGGGAAACTAAAGAGGTCTTGTTCAAACGACTTTTCCCCTTCCACGATTTCCGGATCACTGAGGTGAGGTGAGCGGATGTCGGCGAACAGCGTCTCCGCGATTGACGTTGGTGAAGCCTTCGGAGAGTAGTCCGCGACAGGGCAGAAGGTGGAATCGGAAAAGCAGTCATTAGTGTAGACGGCATTTTTCTTTGTGTTGCACGGCAATGCGCCGGTAGCTGGCGCTGCAGGTGGTTTGTCTTGCGATGGCACAGGACCGCAGTAGGGCAGCATGTCTTCCTTGAATTTGTCCGGCGGAAACTTCGTCGACTGTCGAATATCGTTCACGGCGTTGGTTCCAGAGTCGTACTCACACGACGTTGGAGGCGCACCAGTGCCATTGCTACTGCCTAAGTGATACGACTCGCCGAATTCCACCTCTGTGTTATTCACCCTCGATTCAGTGCCTGTTCCCGTCGCATTTTGGCCGGATATTTTAGCTAACGTCTTGACCTTTGCCCTCTTCTCATCCGATTTCTTCTGCAGTCGCAATGCCACCAAATAGATGCCAATGTATAGGCCTGTCATTACGGAGAGCGTTAGCCAGAAGTAGGAGATAGTTAGGATAGTGTTGAACATGGGGTTGCTTGAAAATTCTGCATAACAAGTTCCACTTTGTCGAACGTGGTTGTACTTGCTAAAATAAGGCCATCCAATGATGGTGGTGAAGAATATGGACGAGGGAAGTATCCAGGTGATCGCGATCATCGACAACACCTTGTTGCCAGTTCTCCAATTTCGGTACTTGGCGGGTATCTTGACGGAGAAAAAGCGGTCCAGTGTAATGAAGAGGACAGTGTACTGACTAGTTAGGCAGAGGGTGTAGTCCAGTGCTAGCCATAGATCACAGAGTATCCTACCAAGCGGCCAGTATCCCAGTAGCAGGTAAAGACTGTAGAGGTTCATTGAGAATATCCCAATCAACACGTCTGTAACAGCCAGTGAAGCTATGAAGTAGTTTGTTGGCATGCGCAAGGTCCGTTCGAGGTAGAACGCCAATAGCACTAAAACATTTCCACCGATGGTAACACTTGAAGCCACGATTGTTAGGAGTATAATGATGCCAGCAGAAACACGTCCATAGGTTGGCGCCTTTGGTGATTCCTCGTTCTCCGCTGATGGAATGTGGGCGTCCGATAGACTTGAGGTAGTTGTCGTGGCCGAAATCGGCGTGTTGAAGTGCGACGTGATTGGTTTTCCACGCTGCAGTCGCTCCGTTTCCCGATAGCGCGACAACAGATCCGACATATTGGAGCTGCGATAGACGAGTTTGCTCGCGTGTGTAACGGGCACCGACGTGGTGGAAACGATGCTGACATCGGCGCTTGGAGGTGAGAGCGAGGTGGCACCTCGACGCTCCTTGATCCAGTTCAAGTAGGCCAGGGAGATGTCTGTTGGAAGCCAGTCTCCACCCTCAGTCTTTGCTTTTGAAGCAAGATCTTGGCCACAAGACACTCGAATCACGTTCAAAATCACCAAGAATGTGCCAACCACCCAATTGGATTGCATGGGTTCATGGAATCATCTTCGTCATCGTTCTACAAATCAACAACAACAACAGAGGTGAAGGAAGAGGTCATCAAGAATCTGATGGTAGCTTTAATGAGGTGATAAACCACGAAAAGCGGCCCAAAACTCAGTAACCAGGAGCTATTCAGTTCACGTAGAAAAATTTAAATGAGGTAAGGTCCCTCTTGTCCCAATGCCAACCTTTGAATGTGTTTACTGATGAACCAATGAAATGGACTGTTTAAAGTACAAACGAAACGTGATGCTGCAAGCCTAATCACTATCTCACGGATGACCTCGTGAAGATTTATGTGGGAATTGGGTTAATGTGTTGACGAAATGGACGGCACAAAGCTTGTTCCCTGATATTTTACAGGGATCCAATCTTGGATAATCCCACACAAACACTTCAATAATTGGCGAGTTTGGTAAAGGATCCACTTCTTCAACATTCCACCAATCAACATTTTTCAAGTAGAGAAAGGTGGAGACAAATTATGCAGAAACGACGCTGCACGCCAATCCACACCAGTCACTAAGTAGGACTTAATTTTTACAGATTGTGTTTAAAATAGAAATATTTCCGTGGTGTTTTGTGGTTTTGAAAGAATCGGACGCAAGAATCCGAAACCCCACCGACAAGTCTACGCGAGTTACGCAGCCCCTTAGAGTGAATTCCAATAACAAGGAGGAATGCTGCTTCTAAAGCACCGGGGACTATCAATTAGCAGTGTCTTTGGTTCTGAAGTTGTGTCTTATGAAACGTGCTATCATTGGTGCAATGGTTTTGGAAGTGGCGGTTTCGATATTAGTGACCCATCGCTCCCCGGACAGCCTCGAGAGTCTGAAGGTGCAGAACTGCAGTCTCTGTTGGCTGAAGACTCAACTCAAACGCAACAAGAGTCAACGTGTGAACACACGCCTTGCACTGCTTGCCCGCCGGCAACGCACAAAGGACATCTTGAGAACTATTGTGACGGGGTGTGAAAAGTATAAAAAGTTGCAGGTAGATCTCGGGCAACTAAGTATATCGACAGGACGGCCACTCGAAGAGGGTTCTCCTGTGTATGTGGTGGAGGTTTGAAGATGCAGAACTGCAAACTCTACTGAATGAATACTAAACGCAAACGCAGGAGTCAGGCAAACAGCTATTTCCAAGCAGTGGCACCAAATGGGACAATGTCAAAAACTTGGAAGCTGGGTCCCACCACAAGTGTCGACCGAACACAACCTAGGTCGCTGCTTGCCCGCCGGCAACAAGCAGAGAATGGACCTCCGGTGGATGTGATGAAATGTGTATTTTTTACGAGAATGCCAAATGTAGAAAGTTGTGAGTAGTTCCCGTCTAACCAAGCAAATCAACGCCGAAACGAGATATCCACTTGGAGAAGGTTCTTCTGTGCGTCTGGTCGGACAACAAAGGTGTACTTTACTACGAACTCTTGACAACTGGTCGGACGGTGAATGCGGAATGCTACGAACGACATAGAGGCCATTTCCCGAGAGATAGAGGAGGCAGACAATTCTTACTACAGCTGGACAACGCTCGACCCCACGTAGCTTGCGCGACTCTGACAATCCTCAGGATTTTGACATGGGAAGTTCTCCCACACACGGCGCCTTCACCAGACTCGGCCCCATCTTGCTGCCATTTGTTCCGGTCAATGCAGCAGCAGCAGCACGCCTTCGTGGATAAACACTTCAAAACGCTGCACGATGTTTCTTCCGCGGCAGCCTTTGTACGCCAGCTGAGGGGTGGCGCAAGGTCATAGCAAACAAGGGGGAATATTTTTTCGAGTATCCCTAGATAAAGAGGCCGTGGAAGTGGCTTTTTTTCAGCTCAAAACATCGCGTCTAGTGGTTATGCAGAGAGGGAAAAACTGCGGCATGCATAATTCACTAGAGGCAATATACATGCATGTCTAATCCTGATGCACAATCATCCGCGCCACAATCTTCCTCTGCATTTGATTTAGACAGCCTTGGTTTACATACCTCTGCGGTCTGTAAGTTGGTGTGGTCGACAACCTCGTGGGATTCACTCGGAGCGTCTGTTGATGGCTTCAAGTGACAGTGTCGAGCATTTAGTGAAATTGTTCCATTATCCTCACTCATCTTGCAGGTTCGCTCAAGGTCGGGTGGTTTTGACTCATCCCTGCGTCCCATTGGTCCCCACAATCTGCACTCAAGGACACACCCAGCGGTTCCCGTTGCCAGTGGCAACTTTTTAAACAAGGGGAGGTGAGAGTGGGCATGCAACACCGCGAGTAAAGCAGAATCCTCATTTTCGCTAAATATGAGGAGGGGCCACGAGGTCCTTTGCTCCTCGATTATCGATTACCTTAATGTAATCGATTCTACATAGATCACACACAGTTTTGCTCAGGTCAACCAAATTTTTGACTACCGATTTTTATTTTGAAATAACTTTTGTTTAAATATCAAAGTAGGAAAAAATAATGATCAGTAACCACATGAAAGGGGTAATGTAATTACCATGAACGTAGAGCAAGGCCAAAACACATTTCCATGCTGCATAGGTGAAGCGGTAATACCGCAAGCATATGGTCAGCTCTCGTGTGCATTTTTTTAACCAATCAAAATCTAGCCGGAAATTTCCGACAGATTTTTAACTCCAGTATTTTACGGCAAGTAGACCTCAGTGGGCTGTGGCTTTAAGCCAAAATTTCACATGGTTGTAGACATTTTTTACGACTAAACGTGTTTGAGTGACGCGGCAGTGTAAATTTGATTTGCCTCGACTCACTAAAACACGAACCACTACAAAAGCGAAATTTGAAAAAAATTGCTTACATGAGATACAGGAGACGGTAACCTCGAGTCGATTTTTAAAAAAATCGTTATGGATTGATAATAATCGACTTTAAAATTAGTGATTGTGCCTGCACAGACTTTCTACTGAATCGGAAAGTGCAGTTGAAGGGAATCATGGAATTAGTTTGCTCATTTCATAATCAATAAGACGCCACTCTACCAAAAATCAATAAACAGGTATTTGTGCCCTCTTGCGATCACCCTTGTGCTGACCTTCTCCATTGGTATCACTTCTCGACCTTCAGATGTGTACACGCACGCACGCGCGCACGCACCCAGCTCGGCCAATCACAACTAAGGATAGAACATAGTCGTTGCTTGTTCTATTTTGCAATCACCAAAAATGAATGCTGTCGGGAGAATTTGGCTTGTGAAAAAAATAATTGTGTGTTTCAAACTAGATAAAACACGAGATGTGGTCGTCGCGAGATCAAACGCGCAGCAATGTATTCGGCGAATCAACTCGTTTCGCAAAGCCTGCAATTCCGCATTTACCAAAAAGTTCGTAAACTACTCTATGATTTATTTGCACAAAAAAATAATTTAACTAGCACCAAGAAGTAGCCGTGGCATCCCATCTCTCCACTGTCTAGAACATGAATGCGTTTTAATAATTTCGTATTTTTGTAAATGAAAACAGGGGCAAAATTGGACAGAGGATGAAACAAGCGGTTGTTGAAATTAAAACATTTAAAGACAGCTGTCAACTCCATGCGATGCCACGCTATTTATTGTTCATTTTCTGCGCCAAAATATGGTGTTTTTTTAAAGCAATTTCCCAGACTTCGTATTCTTGAAAAATCATTCGCTTAGCGATAGCAACTATTCCCGTCACGAACATGTTGATGCAACTGTTTTCTGAGCAGAAAACATGTATTGAAGTGGCGTTTCCTTTCGCGACAATCTCTATAGAAACAACGAAACGCTTGGGTTTGTTTAAATTCGTTAGACACGGAAACTGACGAATGGTACAATGTGGACGTCTAGAGTCAAACTCGTTTTTGAGGGGAACGCAATCAAACCATCCACCATCCGACCAACATCGCGGGGACACCAAAAAACTACAGTAAGAACTTTTTGTATTTCATAGCGTCTCCAAACGATGTGATTAATGGGACGTCGTGGTCACATGATGCCAGACGTGAAGGAAAAACGGAAGATGGAAAAATAAGGAGAGAGAAACGAGGATTAACTGCTATCAGTTGACTTTCTGCCTCATTTTAGGCCACAGAAAATAAGTTTAAAATTTGGATTTTCTCGACATCTCATAGTGACTGTTTTAAGTAATGATAATGATGATGGCAGACGTGAGGCGTTCGTAAAATACGTATATAGCCTCCAGAATTGTAGTACGAACAATTAGCGCTTCATTGGTATTGATTTATCTTTTTATTGGTTAGGAACCAACGATGATGATGACGATAGACGTCCTTGCCAAGAAGGTTTTCCTGAAAAATCGATAACTCAGAGCTCTATCATCAGGCTAGACTGTTGCGCTTCAATCAAAATTCCGGTTTTTAAATGAAGAGAAGATACCGTTTTGTTTTACGTACTTCAGGTCATCCTCAGCATCATTGGTGAACGTTTCATTACTTAAAGTATCTCCTAAGTATCGATTTGAATAAGAATTTCGGTAACTCCTAACCTTTCAACAATTCTAATTCCTCTTCATGAATTACTGATGCCGTCCCGGTGTTTGAGGTGAGCGTTTGCGCGTTGCGTTGCGTGATTTTCTTACTTAATGTGGAATTTTACATCGTCAACTTCCGTGGATCGACTAGGTTTGATGACCCATTTTTGCAGCCTTTAAAGTGCACTCTTGACGAAATTGTTGGCGGTACATTTAAGCAACCGTGAATCCTGGATACCCTACAAATCAGTCCCACGGGTGCCGTGGGAGTACAAATGTATCTACATTATCCCACGCGCTTAACCAACTTCCAGCCTTACAAGTCGAAGCCGCACAGCTAAATGACTGTTAAGGGTGCACAGCCCGTACTCAACAAGATTCGAAAAGCCGCGCAAAAATTGACCAATTTAAACAAAGTTAGATTTTTTGAAAGTTGTCGCTACTCAAAGGGGAGATCTTAATTGCATTCTCTGCATTAAAGGGATCATAAAATCTGTGGATTTTGTGAGCGATCGATTTTATCGGTGTTTTAAAAAACTACAACCACCCACAACAACCAAAACTTTCCAAAATGGCGCCTTACCATTGGCTCATTTAAAGAAAGGCAACAATTTTATTTAAAACCCAACAAATGATTTTTTGTTTGTTTAAATCCAAAATGATTTATTTTCAACAACGAAATCTCGGCACTCATTTAAACCAATAGTATTTTTCGAACACTAAAATTCAGGTCTGGCTGAAAGATTTAACACATAGATGGCGGCTTCGCATGTAGACAACATGCGAAATTTGTTTAAATGAAAGCGTGTGTTTTGCCATAGAAGGGGGCGCGTTTTCTTCTAGCCAAAATTTGCATATAATCAAAATAAATTTTTCGTTTTACGGATTATTAAAACAGCAAGGCAAATTTTCAATCACTCTATTAAAGCCTTTAGATAATCTAATCATCATGAAAAACAACTTGACGGCTGAAAAATCCGGTTACGCAAAATTTCGACATGTCGCAAGAAAAAAAATTTTTCGGCGTACTGTTCTTAGCATAAATCGATAAATCTATTCGCCACAAGAATTTGGTAAGGGCTCCATCTATACTATGTGCATATAAACAAAATTTCGCAAACGCACGCAGAAATTTGCACTATTTCAAAAAATTATCATAAAAATGCCCGGGTTTTTTTTGCACACCAGATGTCTCGTATTTAAAACAAAAATTTCTTTTTAAGTGGTGAATATTGTGCGCCCAATGTAGTCATTTCCGCCAATTATTAAAACAGGGCCCATCACTTTTTAACTTTCTCCTTAAAATTGTTTAAAATCGCAATTGAATTTAACAGATGAAACGAATTGTTCTTTTGTCTCATCAAACAGAGGTAAAAGCTTTGTTTAGACAGATGACAGCCGCCCAGGAACTCAACATTAGTAAATCTACTTTTTAAGTACAAGGCATTTAATTATTTTACGGAAAAAAAAGTACTTTTAACTTGTGAAGAAAATGCAAACAAGCAAGATTTATCAAGCCTTACTTGGAGAAAATCACACGTTTTCGTTTAGGCTTTAACCACTAATCCAACACGGTCGCATAGTTCCACTGCCACCTCAATGAAGCAGTGCCGATGTCCTTCTGCGCAGACGGTAGTTTAATAAGCGCGCCACACGTCATGAGCTCGGCCGGTCACACAAATCCTGTTGGCTAGTCCACTGCTGATTGGTTGAAAGTGCCCGCGCATTATGGATGGGGCGCACGTGTGCACTTACTGCGTCTACGCGGCAATCCAGGAGGAGGTGGAGGAGGAGGAGGAGCGTGGACAGGAGCGTTTTATGGTGGGAATTCCAAGTTGACACATTTTCTCCAGGAGTCTCATTCTGATTCTCATTTTAGTCTACCAGTTGCTAAAATTACTGTTGTATTTGAATTATTTTTTTTTTCACAAGATGAAGACAAAGTTTGCTGAAACAAGTAAATAACCGAATCGGTTCAGCAACTTGCTTGAATAAAAGTGCAAATGTACGACTGCCGTCTCTGTGAGGCTGTAGAGTGGACGATCTTCACACCAAAACCAAAATTTTCGGCCAATCGCATGGCCGTTTTCAAGTACCACGGTAAAAACGCCATTCGTGGGATTTGATTTGGCAAATCCTCATTGAAATTTTAAATTTTCCGGACTCATCGATTAAGTTCCACACCTGGATTAATTTCGACCAGACAAAATTGGCGCAATTTCGTTGAAATTAAACAAAATGTGGCACTAAACTATGCTTTTCTGTCAAATGGGGGAATTTTATGTCTCATTTACGATCGGCGTATGACCTATTACAGGAGGAGGGGAATTTGGAATGCACACCGACGTAGCCACTCCCTCTAAGCCCCTTCTGTAAATCACTTTTCGGCGCCAAAATGTGCTCGTAGTTTTGTATTCTTTAACCGGCACATTCCTGCACGGCCTTGAGAACGAGTTTGGCTCATGATTGGGTTGGAGTTCTGTTCACACGGCCAGTTCACCCACGTATTCATGCCCAGGATCACCCTAACTGTTTCAGAAATAGACACCGCGCTCAAAGTGGAGCAACGAGCCAATGAGATGGGTAAGCGGTCGATGTGAAATGGTGTGTGGCGCAGGCACACAAATTGGAGTGGTGGAATTCACGAAACAAAGTGCACACGCAAAGGAAACAGTGACTTAAGTTGGCCTTCCAAATGTCTGGAAGCATGGTATTTGGACAACAATATTTAAATTAAATTAGTGGTACATTGTAAAAAAAGTCGCGAGCAAAGACCTTCAAAGTTTCGCTGTGGCGTACATCAAAGACTACCCGAGATTAATGACTTGATTGCTATAATTCGCTTTCACGTTATGACCGCATTAAGATTTTTATCTGGTCAAAAACTGAATCATTTAAAGCAGCCATATCTAATGGCAACTACGTCGATGACTGCTTGCCAAGTCATGGAAATAAAGAAACGGCACTTCAGCAAACTTAAAATGTGATGTTAATTCAAGGCGAGTGTTTATACCAGAAGAAGCGATTGTCGGTAAATCGGTGTTGATCCCAGACTTTCCCTAGAGCTTCGTTTCTACCAACTGAGGACATTCGAGAAGAACAGGATGGACGTCTTCCACAATGGGATCAAAAGCCAACCGACTTCATGTTTGATGACACCTGACACCTCTCTGACAACTGGCCTCATCACTGACACCGACCTATTACCGATAAAGGCGGTTTTGGGCAAATCCGACTGCCATGCAGACGCGACAGTGCTGGCGTCATGTCGGTCTGATAGAACGGAACGGGACTACTCATACCGACATGGGGCATCGTTTGGTTCCATCTGACAATTGTGTTCTGTCATGGCAGTTTCCACCACCACCACCACCACCACCACCACCACCACCACCACCACCACCACCACCACCACCACCACCACCACCA